TAAATTGGAGAATGCTAGAGTTCAAAATTACACTAGATAAAACAATATCTGATAGATACCTAAATTATTTTTGAAATATTACATAAAGCCAGGCACATAATAGATGTCCAATAAATATTGTCCTCTGTTACTAACTTCCCTTACATTGGGAGTTTCTTCTGTACTACATTTTAAGATCCTGAAGGATAGGATCACTAACAGTGTTCTTCACTTCCCACTTACGACAGTCCCTTATGAACAGCAGGCACTTGAAGGAAAAGCAGGAAGAACACCAGATGGTTCACGGGTTAAGCAGAAATACCTCCTTCCTTTTGGTCATTTCAGAACCAGTGAAGATGCATATTCTACCAGCCTGATCTGACAGATGACAGAATGTGGGTATAGATACAAAGGCAATTTCACTTGCTGGCCTGACCACTTCTCGTGTCTAATAGCCCTGGCCTATGGAGGCTGGGGACCCTTGGTCCAAAATATAACTGCACTGAAGTTATAACCGTAAAAGATTAAATTATTTGAATTTAAGTATGTTTCAAAATTACAGATTAAACTCAGATTTTTTTTTAAAGACAGGGTCTCACTGTGTAGTTCAGCCTGGCCTTGAACTCACTATGTAGCTCAGGTTGACCTTGAACTCATAGCAGTCCTCCTGCCTCAGCCTCCCAAGTGCTGGTATTTTAGGCATAAGCCACCAAGCTTGGCTTTAAACTCAGCTTTTACCTAAAATTTTCAACACTGAGATCACAAATTCTAGTGATGAAGACTTTTGAAAATATAAAAAATATATGAAGGGCAAATATGAACGTGAAAAGAAGTTGAAATCACTAGTCATTCAGGAAAAACAAATCAAAACCACAATTAGATACCACTTCACACCCACCAAGATATCTGTTGTCAAAAAGACAAAACAACATGTTGGAGAGGATATGGAGAAATTGAAATCCTCACACACTGCAGTGGGAATTTAAAATGGTGTAGTTGGTTTGGTAAACAGTCTAGTAGTTCCTTAAAACATTAAACATATAGTTACCATAGGACTCAGCAATTTTGCTACTAGGTATATATTTGTGAGATATGAAAACACAAGTCCACACAGAAACTTGTATAACAATGTTCATAGCAGCATTTCTCATAACAGAATATAGAAATAACTAAAGTGTTCATCAACTGATGATGGATAAATACAACATGATATGTCCACACAATGGAATGGGATTCAATCACAATCAGGAAGGATGTGCTGCTACATGTGACAGTATGGATGAACCTTGGAAACATGTCAAACAGAAGAATCTAGACACAAGAGACCACATAATATATGACTTCATTACTGTGCAATGTCCTTAATGAGCAAATTACAGAAACAGAAAGTAGATTAGTGGTGGGCTATGGCAGAGGATACGTTGGGAGAAGAAGAAAGATGGGGCCAGGGAAAGGGAATAACTACTAATGGTTATGGAGTTTTATATCAGAATGCTGAAAATGTTCTAAAATTGATTTTGGTAAGAAATGCACAACTATGTGAATACATGAAATACCAACGAAGTCTACATTGTAAATAGATTTTATGGTATATGAAATATAGCTCAGTGTCTTAGTTACTTTTCTCTTGTTGCTGAGACAAAATACCCAACACCTACATGTTAAGGGAGGAAAGGTTTATTTAGCTCACAGTTTGTAGAGGTTTCAGTCTATAATTGGCTGGCTCCAAGGCAGGGAGGATAGCAGATAGGCATGGCAGAGGAGAAATACTTCATGGCAGGTAGAAGGTAGCAAAGCAAGCAAGAGATGACCACAGCTCTTTCTACTCCTTACATTTTATCCAAGCTACTTAGCCTTGGTAGCACTCATACTCTTAATCCTAGTGCCCTTGATCCTAGCACTGCACCATGAATTAATTCCAGCATCACACACTCTAGATCCAACCACTTCTGAAAAAGCCCCACCTATGACTGCATGAGGCTTTAGGGGAACATCTAGACACAAGCCATAACATTCAATAAAGCCACTTAAAAAAAAGCTATTATGCTAATGCAAATTTCAGTTACTCTTTAATGTTACTTACCTTAACTAAGTACTCCCCATACTAATATTTACATGGTTTTTCCATATTTAACCATTTTTTTACTTAAATTTAAAAGAAAATTTATCATACATTTTATATCAGCTAATATAAAAGAAATATGAATATGGCAAAATACTGGCCGTGGTATTCTGATAAATGCAATATAAGAAGCTCTGGGATGCAACAAAACAATGGCCAAGCACCAAAAAAAAAAAAAAAACAAGAAAAAAAAAAAGAAGTTGATTACCAGGAAACAAACACTAGGACTGACTGGGCCTAAGGTGCTGGAACAAGCTGGTGTCTGCAACAAACTTAAGTCGCAATTGTCTCAGTCCTACCCTGCAGTCCCAAGATATCTGCAGACACAAAAGTCCTAGAAATAGAATGTGAAGATTATCCAAGTGCCAGGAAAGGCGTTCTTCTTTTCATCTTCTGAGT